TTCCTGCCAGCCACCAGGATGGGGACGGCTCTGAGCTCAGGCAGACAGCAGGCAACGCCTGCACTGCAGCCTCGCGACCCTGAGTGCAGACCGAGCCCTGCCACCCCGGGGCGGCCGACCCTGACTGGCAGCGCCATGGGGCCGTGAACGCGTTTTGCTTTACGCCGTGAAGTTTGTGATGATCTACTGCAGCAGCAACAGGAAACACGCGCACGCCCCTGGCTGCAGCCCAGCACGCGCTTTACGCTGTCGACCCCTCTCCTCTCCTCTCACGGGCACAGCAGCGGCCCTGGAAGGATCTGCCAGGCCCTCAGTGCTGGGGGCGACGAATACACACAGACCCCGGAGACGCTGCGGGGTCAGCTCCACATCACAGCAATAAAGCATGTCGCACACGTGCGTATAAAAGTGACGTTTACACTATCCTGCAGTCTAGTAAGCATGCAGTGGCATGATGTCTAAAAAACAACGTGCAGGACTTCCCTGGTGGTCCAGTGGTTAGGACTCCGTGCTTCTATTGCAGGGGGCATGGGTTCAATCCCTGGTCGGGGAACTAAGCTCCTGCATGCCTCACAGCACGGCCAAAAAACAAAGTACAGTACTTGGAGCCAGATTACAGAGATTCACATCTGAGCCCCATCTCAAATAAACTCAATTTGATTAAAAAAAAAAAAGTGCATACCTTAATTCTGAGTCGTAATCTTTTTGCAATGGTAACATCAAAGATCACTGATCACAGGTCACCACGACAAATAGAATCATGAAAAAGCTTGGAAAATGTTGAGGATGATCAAAACGTGACACAGAGGCACGAAGCGAGCAAAGGCTCTGGGGAAAACGGCACCGATGGACTTGCTCGAGGCAGGGCTGCTACAAACCTTCAGTTTGTAAAAAAACGCAGTATCTGCGAAGCACAACAAAGCTCGAAGCAACAACACGAGGTTGGCCTGTGCATCACGGTATTTGTAGCGAGCTAGCAAACACTCTCTAGGGTTTACTCCGTGCCCAGCACTGCACTGCGTGCTTTCAGTCCAGGCACTCACAACAGGCCTAAGATGCATATATGATCATTAATATTTTAGGTTTGGCGGACGAGGAAACAGAAGTTCAGACAGGTTAGATCACCTGCCCGAGGTCTTGCCGCTCACACGGGGCAGAGCCGGGCTGCAAACTCAGGAGGGCGACCCCAGCTCACATCACCTAGTCTTTGCTGACACTCACTCCCCACTTGGTGGGGACAGAACAAGTAAAGCCAAGTCCGTGGCGTTGACAGAAGTCATGTGCGCCGGCCGGACAACCAGGATCTGACTCTTTTAGTGTAACGAGCGTTTCGTGTCCTACCTGTTGGCGAGGTGCTCCAGCTTGAAGATGTGCACCGTCTCCGTGTTGCTCGAAGCACAGAGGAGTTGCGAGTCCATGCTGAAAGCCAGAGAGCTGATCGTCACATACCTGCAAACACAGCCACACAGGGACAGGTGAGCCCGGGGAACGAGGGTAACAGCCTGAGAGTACAAAAATCAGCTTCACGTATATATGTAAGAAAACCTAAATGTATCCCGAAGAGTTTGAGCACAGGCAGACCTCGTTTTATTGGGCTTCGCTTTATGATGCTTCGCAGATACTGCGTTTTTTTTTATAAGCTGAAGGTTTGTGGCAGCCCTGCCTCGAGCAAGTCCGTCGGTGCCGTTTTCCCCAGAGCCTTTGCTCGCTTCGCGCCCGTGTCACGTTTTGATCATCCTCAACATTTTTCAAGCTTTTTCATGATTATTGTATTTGTCGTGGTGACCTTTGGTGTGATGACTGCAAACAGATTATGACTCGCTGAAGGCTTGGGTGATGGTCAGCATTGTTTAGCAATGAAGCGTTTTTTAAATTAAGGCATGGACATTTTTTTTTTTTAGACTCACGCCATCATCGCACACTTAACAGACTGCAGGATAGTGTAAACATCACTTTCATAGGTACGAGGAAACCAAGAAATGTGCGTGACGCGCTTTATTGTGATACCGGCTTTACTGTGGTGGTCTGGGATGGAACCCACACTATCTCCGAGGTCTGCCTGTGTTTTCTAAAATCCCTTCAACACTGTATCATTCATACTTTGAAATTAACATCGGAAAGAGTCACACTGGGTCGCTTCTCAGGTGAGAAGAAACCAGGCATCGCCCCTTCCCGTCACGCTGGAAGTCTTCCGTCTGTGAGCCCTGCAGCGGATAGGACCCAGACCATCACACTTTTCTATTCCGCGGGAGGAGGGTCAGCAGTTACTTTCCAGCCGCGACTCCCTCGCCTGTCTCATTTCTCCGCGACGGGCCGCCCTTGGGCGCGTCAAGAAAGGGCTCCCCAGGCTGGAGGCCCAGGTCACAAAGCCCTCTCAGCTCTCAGGTGTTCTGAGTGCTCAGTGGGGCCTCTAGTCAATCACCCGAGAAAGGACCATCATCCATCCTCCCGGGCAGGGCGAGGGGCGCACACAGCCCCTCTGTCCTCTCCCCGGACGGCTGCCAGCCGTCCACTACAGGACCCCTGTGCGTACTCTAGTGTGTTTTTACGATGAGCACAGACCTTTTCACGCCTCTCCGAAACTCATAGAGCTTTTGCCCATCGGGAACCGAGAACACCCGGATGACAGTGCCCTGGAAGAGAAAGCAGGTAGGCATTTCGTACCGTGAACAGCTTCACGCAGACACGTCCCTTTAGAGACGAGTTTGTTTGATTGGTTTTGAGCACCTGTCTCAGGAGAGGAAGCACAGAGGGCTGTGCACAGAGGCTTTTCTGTATGTGTGCTGTATAAACCGTTCTTGGAAGGTGAGTTGAACAGCCTCCGTCTCCCTGCCCCTCCCCACCCGAGCCCAAGGCGCTAGCGTGCTCGTTCAGTCTGCTCTGGCCCCCTCAGACATTCAATCTCTGCCCGTCAAAAATACACCTGTTTCTCGTGGCATCTGAAATTCAACTCGGTCACCTTCCCTGGTTATTCCAGACAGAAGATGTCAGTCTCTCCTGCTGAACAGCCAAGCATTTTGTTTCTACTGTGTTTATGGAACGTGGCATCTCTCCGTATCTGTGATGATGGGCACGCACGTTTCTTAATCAGACCGCGAGGTTCTGGGCAAAGCGGCTTGCGTCCTGCACATCAGAGGCCCATGGTCGGCCGAGTTAATAAATGCAGCGCCTCACGCAGGGGCCGGAAGGCCTCCCTCCGGAGTGAGGTCTGAGCGCTGGGGTCACCGGGCCCCTTCCACCAGCTCTTTGGGGCCCAGGGCCCCCTGAACCCGCCCCCCCCCCACCCCGGCCGG